ACAATGCCCAAAACGGGCTAAGGCAGTTGGTTACCCAACTTTTATATCTTGTGAAGGATAAACATTCACGGAGTAATACGCAAGACCTCGCGGATGACCCCGATGGAGCGTGTGGGGAAGTATCGGGGAGTCTCCCCGATCGGCCACGAGACATTGGTAAAGATGATCAACCGAGAAACGACCCTCGCACTACCCCTTCTAGTAACTCTTTCAAGTTAGAACAACCCCCATTTGGCTCATGGAGATACTGCTGCACCGATGCCGCACCCCGCGCGACCGCATCCTTCCAAGTCTCAGGCAGCGCCACACTCTGCACAAGACGAAAAGCGTCATCCTCTTTTGCCAGGCGTTGCGCCTTGTCAACAGCAGCCAATATCAGTGCAGCGCTTGTCGCCACGCGAATACCGTACCAAGTCCCCTGATGCCGATGCCCCGCGACCTGATCGAGTTTCAAGATGCAGAATCGCACACATTGCGATGCGTATGAGCTGATTGTACCGTGTAGCGAGGCATCCATCTCATCTGCCAACTGGTCCACGCCGAGTCTTACGAAAGGCCGTGAAACTAACTCGCAGAGGGATATGTACCTATGCCGCAGAATAAAGACCATGGGGTCGGCGACAGCATCCGCCGTGTAGCCTTGGGGAATGTCGAAGTGGAAGATGGGCGGTAGTGACGAGTACCAGTCTAATATCTGCGACTGCATCATCTCGGCCTGAGAAATCATGCGACGCACTTGCCTCTCACTAGGAGTCTCGGGCGCCTCCGAGTTCATCTGCACAAGGCGATTGATCACGTGTCGCGCGGCGATTTCGCTGAGGTAGTAGTACCAACTGCGCTCCCTGTCGCTGGCATCGGGATGAGAGCCGAAGTCCGGGGGGCGGGGAAACGCGAGGGGCACGTAGGCATTGTCGAGGATCGGTGGAGTCGGTAGTGGGAGTTCCAGCCTCAGTTCGCATTCAGACTTCCAGATTGTAAAGCATAGAGCCTGCATAAGGGTGAACTCGTTGGAGCTTTCATCGTGACTTGACAGTTCCCCGTGTATTAAGCCAAGGGTATTCCAGGCCGCGCCGGCTAGATTGAAGTGTTTCCAGGCCTCGAGGGGCTCTAGGCGATGCATATACCATATTCCCGCGAGGCATAGGCATTGAACAGCCTGCACGGTGTTCTGAGCCGACGCATAGCCAAGACGCTTCACGGCCACGCTCCAGAACTGCATCGATAGTTCTATCTCTGCCTTCTTTTCAGGCGTTGCCTCATAGCTGCTGGACAGGTCTGTCTGCGAGTCTGTTATAGCCGCGTTGGCACATACCAAAGCCACGAGGCATGCGCTGGTCGACCAGTCGAACCCGTGCTCAGCAATATGTAACATCATACGATGCAGCTCCTCAAGATCAATGATGGGATTCTTGGTGTGCAGAGCTTCAATGTACTTGGTCTCCAGCCATGCGAGCTGAGGATAGCTTGTGTCCGGAACAGGGTAACTGCCTAAACCCGAGGGATTGTTGTCGGCGAATAGACAGCAGTTTGGCCGATCTGTGGCGAATATGTTCCAGTTGAGTATTGACTCGACGCCCTGTGGTCGCACAACAACATTCTGCGATACAGCCCAGTTGTCAAGATTCGGCTGAAGCACCGACGATGAGAGAGAGTCAGCTGTTTGCGCAGGCGACGGTTGCGGCGAGTGCTGATTCTCGACTATCCTGGTCAAGTGGTGAATGGCCTGTAGGATCTCCGCTCCACTGACCGAGCTGCTTAAGTTAGTAAGACCAGTTCAAGAGAGACAGTTGCACATGTCATACCCTGTACCCTCATCTTCTGGGTAGACGCAGGGCAAGCGGCGCTTGAGGCAGAAGCCACAAGTTGGCCTGCTATTGTCGCATCTGGTTTTTCGGGTGCGGCACTTCTGACATGCCGTGACACCCCGGGATTGGGATCTGGGGAAGGGAACGTGAGCTACCCGAGATGAAGAAGCGTCTGCCATTGATTGCAAGCGACTGCGGTATTGACGGTGGAGATGGGTATGTAGTGTTGAATGCGAGTGTAGTGTCGGGGAGGGCCGATAGCGATGATTTATCAACTTATGCCAGGGCTGGAAATTCATCGGAGTGGGGCCCCGACAGCACCATTACAGTACAGCACGCACAGTCACAGTAGATTGGGTTGGGTTAGTGAGTCTAGACCATCCACAATCAGTCTCCCCACAGCTGAACTGTGTCCCCTCTAACTAAGCTTGATGATCAACCAATCCCCAGATTCTCGGACAGCCCATTCAAACCCCACGGGGCGCCCTGGTGATCCAATCATGACCCGGCCTCACCATCAAACTCTGCTCAACCACGAGGCACCCAGGGCGTCTCATGCCAGCAACAACAACAACAAGGCTATTCCAACATTAATACTTCGTGTCCGAATGACTATAAGTATGCGCCGGCCAGCTTGCGATTTTTTTGGACTACAATAAGCCAGCACAATCATCACAGCCTCCTCTATCTCAACTGCATCGCCATACTCATCATGGGCTGTTTCAAGAATAAAACGGAGAACAAAGATGCCGCAGAGAATACTGTCGGGCCTGAGCTCTTAAAGGTACCCTCTAATTTATTCTACTCCCTTGTTTCTCCAACGTGACAAGTACTGACTGGCCTAAGGTTCTTCCCCAGACGGAGCTTCCCTGGTATCGAACAAAGCATCTCCTTCTCCTCAACCTGATGCTTCTTATCCCCCTTCTGAGTTCCTCCGCCGTAGGATACGATGGTAAATTCTTTAGCCACTCATGTATTCGCCAGCTAACAAGATCTCAGGGTCTATGATGAACGGTCTCCAGACACTCCCGCAGTGGCGAAACTTCTTCAACAACCCGCCTCCTCCCGTCCTCGGCGCCATCAACGCAGTCTACCCCGTCTGCAAGATTCTCGGTTTGGTTCCAGCAAGTACCATCTCGGACAGATTTGGACGCAAGGTGCCCATCTACATTGGCCTCGTATCGCTTGTAATTGGGCCGGCTATCCAAGCAGCATCGATCAATCTTCCGATGTTCATCGTATCGAGAGGTCTTATAGGCTTCGCTACTGTCTTTCCTCAGGTCGCCTGCCCCATCCTCGTTTCCGAGCTGTCTTACCCTACCCACCGGGGTAAGGTGACTGCGTTGTACAATACCTTCTTCTACTTTGGTGCTATCGCGGCTGCTTGGATCACCTATGGAACTTTCAAGATGCAGTCCACCTGGGCTTGGCGGTGCCCCTCAGCGCTTCAGGCAGCTATTCCGTTCCTTCAGCTTATGTTTATCTATTGGGTTCCAGAATCTCCTCGGTAAGTGTTAGTCCCGGAGATATATACAGGTTGCTAACAAATTTACGTTACAGATGGCTCATTGCCAATGGGAAAAAAGACCAAGCCATTGCGATTCTTACCAAATTTCATGCAGGCGGTCAAGAAAACTCTCCACTTGTTGCGTTTGAGATCACTGAGATCGAGAATGCTTTGGCACTTGAAAGGAGCCAAGAGTCATCAGCCTCGTGGAAGACGCTCGTCAAGACGGCCCCCATGCGCAGACGTACCCTTATTGCAGCTATCCTGGGCTTTTTCAGTCAGTGGAACGGCATTGGCGTTGTCACCTATTACCTGTCTCTGGTCCTCAACACCATCGGTATCACGGCCGCCAAGGACCAGGTTCTGATCAACGGCCTCCTCCAGCTCTTCAACTTTGCCGCCGCTGTCTTTGCTGGTGCGCTTATGGTTGACAGGTTTGGACGGCGAAGGCTCTTCCTCCTTGCTACGTCGGGGCTTTGCCTCAGCTACGTGGCTTGGACAGCACTCACGAGCTATTTCATTAGGAGCCACGACGAAGCAGCCGGTCGAGCCGTGGTGGCATTCATCTTCGTCGCTTTCTTCTTTTATGATGTAGCTTGGACACCACTCCCTCAAGCATACACCATCGAGATCTTCCCTTTCTTGACTCGCAGCCGAGGTTTGACCACTGCACTCACGTCTTCGTACATTGGCCTCATTAGCGCTCAGCTGATTAACCCTGTTGGCTTGGCTGCTCTTGGCTGGAAGTATCATATCGTTTTCTGCTGCATCCTGGCTTGTCTTGTTGTGGTCATTTATTTCTTGTTCCCTGAGACCAAGGGTCGCAGCCTGGAACAGATTACGGAGCTTTTTGAGGGCAGAAGTGTTAGTGTGGATGCTGAGGAGATTATCAGCAAAGGAAAGGTTGGGGTTGTGTATGAGATTGAGACACCAAACAAGGTCTAGGGCGCAAAGCTTAAGGAGCTTTATGTACTTCTGTCAAGGCTTTTTAGCTAAAGAAGAAGAAGAAGATGTAGCTCATAGTAGTAACTAAGCATTCTAGGCAATCCTATTCTCGCTGAATGGACTTCCAGAGTCGCAGACGCAGTTCGCCATCTTGGTTCTACTTGACCTAGTATCGTGAAAATTAGCAGTGCTGCGGTTCTTAGCACCAAGATATGCGGTCCCGTGTTTGACATGGTGCAATTGTATTCGGCTCTTACGCGACAAAATCATGAGGTTAAAAGCGGGTTCGGTTTAGTGATGAACATTTTGAACTTGATGTCATTCTATCCGGGTTCTTGTGAAAAGGTTATGTGGTTAAAAGAGGCTTCAGCCCCGGCGCACAAAAAAAGAGCACATAGAGACAATACACTCTTGGCGTTTGATGGCGCTTAGGACCTGATTTTTGGCTGAAAAACTAAATATCACGATGACGGTATAGAAAGAGCCTGCTTTCTGCTTTCCCGTCCAGGGAGACGGGCTGGTGGCGGTTGGCGACAAGATCAATTGGAATTTCGGAGTAATTAGGATTGAGGTTTTAGTTGGACGGAGCCTAGTGGGTGGAGTTGTAAATGGCCCAAACAGAAAACCATCAGGGTAGCAAACCAAGAATATTTAAGTAAGAACCCTTATCAGCATTATAGTATTGATTCAAATTATCCTGAGCTGACCAAGTTTAGAATCTCGTATTCAATTCGCAGTCCAACATGTTTCAAGCCCGTTTCAAGTCAACATCGCGAGCTCTCCTCAACTCGCAGCGCTCTCCAAGATTTAGCCTCAATCTACGACACTTCTGTGCTTCTCCATCTCATTCCCAGCGCCTCCCAGTTCAGATCTCAGGCCAAGGAAGCGGCACCATCCAAACCATCTCTGTCAAAGACAAGCCGTACAAATTCTCAACCGACGCCCCCAAGGTCATCGGCGGTCAGGAATCACACCCCTCACCTATCGCCTACACCCTCGCTAGCCTCAGCTCGTGCAACCAGGTCACAGGCGCACTTGTAGCCAAGGATCACGGGCTCACGCTGGGCAAATGGCGCGTCCTGGTCGAGGGCCAACTACCCACTGCGGTGTTCGTTGCAGGTGAGCAGGGTAACCCGAATTGGGAGAGCGTGGACTTGGAGGTGTTTGTACAGACTAGTGCAGGCGATGCTGCGTTCGAACATTTTGTTGCCGAGGTTGAACGACGATGCCCTATCGCGCAGCTTTTTAAACGCAGTGGTGTGGCGTATAAGAGCACGTGGATTAACGAGCCGCTATGAGAGCTAGCGTGCGCTGTCAGTACCTGAAGCCTTGTCCAGGAAACGTGGGAGAAGAAGTCTAGGGAGGACGCATAGTGTCGGTTGGATAGAAGCAGGGACGGGCTAAGGGGTCACAACAGGTCAGGGGACTATGAGATTACGCATGGAGGCAACAGACATTTAGGGTAAACTTTCATGATACAGGATCAATTTACCAGTATGAATCAAGTGCATCTACATGTGATATTTGGTAATATCATAGTCATCGCTGTTGCGCTTTGCCTCGTGCAACACGGTATACCATGTGCCTACCGCCTATGCATGAACTCACGGATTATTTCACTGACAAGCGTTTGAATATTAACTATATAGGTTAAACGTCTACAAATGCTAATGCCTGTTACTCATGCACCCGTTTGGTCTTATATAACCTCTAAAGCTGCGGGACTAAATCTTTTCTTGGCTGCTCGACCTCGCACGTCTCATCGCACGCCACAACGCATACCATCTTTCGGTAATCAGTATAAACTACCTTGGCCATGCCTTTGCCAATCCTCCCAATCCAGTTTGGCCTGAGTTGTACGAAATCCCTTGCTAGTTCCGCTCTTGCAACTACCGGCCCCACAATGCCGGAGCCTTCACCCACATCACGGCGTTTATTTCAAACTGCCGCGCAATTAGGCCGCGTCTTTTTGACCAAACAGACGTAAAGATCTTCACGGCAACACCACGTAGACCATAACATGTAGTAGCCATAGTGGATTGAATAGGGAACCCCTGTTGTCTTGGCAGAATAAATACCCCGTTGCTTCCATGGACTATTCAACCATCATTCCTCATTGTCTCAGAGTCAGCGCAAATGTTGCCAAGAAATATTTTCCCTCTTCTCACAGTTTCAGCTGTTGCTGAAGTGCATTATCTGTTTTCTGGCTTCTTTTCTGGATCGACAATTGCCGGCATTGAGTTTGACGATGAAGCTCTTTCCTTGAGCTTAGTGAAGAACATCTCTTCCGCATCCGATGACGGATCGAAGTGGATTGCACTTGACGTAAGCATTGCTCAGATACTCTATCTGTGTCAGAACTTATCAGAAACTTTAGGCTCGCAAAAAGAACTTATATGTCGGTACCACTGGGTACTTCCAAAGCTACAAGATAAACAAGGAGCTTGATTTGACCTATAAGAACAACGTCAGCTTGTCTTCGGATTGTAAGCAGCCCTTCCCGATACCGATGCCCGATTGTTATGCTCGACGTGTCCTCTGACCACTTATACACAGGCAACAACGCAAACTTCATCACCGCATCAACCAAGTCACCCTTCGCAGTATTCGGAACACCATATGGCGGAGGCTGTCCAACAGTCGCCATATCCGTGGACAAGACCGGCACGCTCCAGAAAGCCTTTGCAAATGCGACTTATAACACCAAAGGCGGTGTTCACGGAACCGCACTGAGCCCCAAGAATGATTTCCTGTACTCTGCCGATGACATGGGAAATGCAGTCTGGGCTCACTCGTATGATCGAGAAAGTGGCAAGATTGAAGAGGTGCAGTATCTTGCTGCCGACGAAGGATCGAACCCGAGACATTTAACTGTTCACCCCAACGGAAAATGGGTGTATGTCGTTTATGAGGAGGCTAATTCCATCGCGGCATACAAGCGGGACACAAAGACGGGGAAACTCGAGTTTCGCAACGAGACCTACAGTTTACTTCCTTCCGGTAGGACTGAGATACCTTCTCCATACCCCGCTAAGCTAACTATTTCTTTAGGATTCACCAACTCTTCTTCCTACTGGGCTGACGAGGTGCTGCTCTCCACACCTGCCGAAGGATCATCCCCCAAATACCTGCTCGCCGCCACGAGGTCTCGCAAGACTGGGATTTCCGGATATGTCTCTGCGTTTAGTCTAGATGCTAAGACTGGAGGTATCAAAGAGCAGCTGTTTCTACAAGAAACCACTAACAGCGGAGGATCTGCGAATGCTGTATCGCCAGCTTCATTCAGTGAAGATTTCTTTGCAATCACTGATAGTGGTTCGAACTTTGTTGAAGTTTGGAACATCATAGGCAAGAGTGCTGCGGCGGTTGCTCACCTGAATCTTGACAATGGGCCGGCCAATGTTGTATGGTATAGCTGAGTGTCATCGAGACAGGTCTGTAGGTGAACGGATTTCGGTCCTCGATTTGTGAACTCATGACATAGCGTCAGCAGTATGCCAAGTGACTCGTTGATAGCCAGAACTCACTTCCATTTCTTATCACTCGTTTTAGTCACAAATATCGTGATGAAATCACTGCTTATAAAAACATCACGTCCGTAAGGCTAAGTTCTCTCGGCTGATTTAAGCTCTCAGACATAAGTCTCTGAGGGTCGTAAGGCATGTAGGTTATTTGGATGAAATCGCAAGCATGCCAATTAGGCGTGCGGCTAAGAACTAAATGCAGAAGTACATGTACAACTTGAAAATAGATTTCATTCATCCGCTTCGATGATAAGGTCGACCGGAAGCTTCCTTGTTTCGCTCTCTTTGTACCAATCCATCATGTGTGGCCATACAGGAGGGTTTTTCGCAGGAATCGATGTCGATGTGGCATTCTTCAAATAAGCAGTATGTCGAAGTTTCTTCATACTAGCAGAAGTTTTGAATGTATTAAGAAATATGTGCGCAACCTCTTCTCCATTTAAAGGCACAGAGGTGAACCAGTAAGGGAATAGCGCACTGCAGTCGCCAAGCTCATGTAGACTTTTACCATCCACAGTTAGGATAGAGTAAGGGTAGATGCAAGGGTCTCTACTGATGAAGAGTACCTTTAGACTGCCTTTTGTGATAGCAGAGAGGCGGCGATCACGAAGTCTTTAAAAGTCATATCTCGTACCAAACCCTGGTTTAACTGTATAAAACTGATTCAATTAATAGTTAAAGCTTATAATATCTTAATAAGATATATTAAGTTAATATACTAGAAAATACTAATTAACTTTAGGCTTCTAAAAGTAATATATATATAGCCTCTATAAAGATAAGTCTTTTAATTAAAATTAAAATAATATACTTTTGTAATAATTTAATTAATAACTTTATTAATAGCTATTAAGATATAAAAAGCTAGTTTAATTTATTATTACTAAAAATAAATAAAATTCTTATATAAAAAAATATAAACTATAAATTATAAAAATATCTTTTATTTTAAGTAATAAAATTACTTTATAGCTATTAATTAATAGCCTATAACTATAATATAACTATAAGAATAACTGGCCTTTTTTAAATTTATTAATTAAAAACTATAGGTCTCTCTAAAGGCTTATTAAAAACCTTTTTAAAATATTTAAGAAGTATCTTTTTTTAATTAATAAATAATAAAAAGGATAATATTATAAAGATTAAATTAATAATTTTTAATTATTACTATTTTACTTTTAGGTTTAAAATAGGCTTTTTAAAATAAATATTTCTTATAAATTAAAGAATATAGCTAAAAAAGCTAATTTAAAGAGTTAAAAGACTAAAAGAATGTCTTTTTAATAAGACCTTTTTAATAAGCTTAAAAAGTAATAAGTATTAGCTTTAAAGCTTACTTATTAAATATATAATAATATAAAGAAATAAATAAATCTAGCTTTTAGAATAAGTAAATAGACTTTAATATAGAAGCTTAATTTCCTAGATATAGCTATTAATAAAGTTATATATAGCATAAATAAATACAGTTAAAATTACATTAAGTTCCCTTAAAAAGGGGTATAAAACTGATAATGCAGTATTTAATAGATGAATTTTGGCTACTGAAGTAGCTCACCTGAGCTGCCTTCATTCAAACCGAAGCGCTGCCATACCACTATATATCTCTCCATGCTCACCAAACTCCTGCATCCTGTCTAGGCTTAGTTGTTGTTGATTACCAGGAAACCACCACCTGCTGGGAAGATGCGGTCTCCATCACTCAGAACTGTAGTACATCTATACTTTAGTAGACTTTTTTCTACTTACCAGACTCTGGCTCTCTATCATGGACTGTCAATTGCTCTTACTGCCAGTAGAACAACGCGTGATAGATAGACACAGCATTCCAACTCCGGACACTTCAGTGCAGATGGCTGTCACATCATTTTCAACGGTAGGCAGACTTATCTCTATCCGCAAGTAACACTGACATGTTTCATTAGAACCCACGGCTTATTTCTTTTTGATATCATTGATATGTATTCTACCAATAATCAGACTTCATGGTTCTGTTCTCTAATTCCAAACAACTAAGCCGCTACCGCCAGTTCACTACCATCTGTTATGGCTGGCAGTATAGAATACTACTTGTATTGATTAAATCTTTTAGTATGTGTCCTCAGTTTGTCTTGAACATAGGCGATATCTCTAAGAGTTAAGTTGGCATGAGGAGATGAGTGGAGACCTAAGTTCCGTCTCCTCATTTGAACTCTCAGTCATGATTCTTCACTGCAAATCATAAATCTAGCTTATAAACAAGTTCCCTGGAGAAATTGAGTTGGGGTTTGACATAGTGTTGAACAGAGATTACAGAATAGGGCTGAGATAAAGCCAGGCTGGGATTTGATTCATAGCTGAGCTAAGAGTAGTCAAGTATTGAGGCAAACATGAGCTGGCAATTGAGACTGAGTTAAGCTGAGGTTCAAGATAAGAGTTTAGGTAGATGAAGTTGAGACATGGCTGAATTAGCAAGTGGAGCTGAGATCAAGCTGGGGAAGAGACAGAATTTGACTGGCAACTTGGATGCGGTCAGACTCAGCGCTCAGGCAAAGCTTAGGTGGACCACTAAGTTGGTACCTGGGAAATGGTAGAGTCTGGAAGTAAGCTCGGAGTGAGGTTGGGAATTGAAGTACTTGATCTCAAAAGGGCAGGAGTTGGATTTTGTCCAAGGTAAAAAATGGTTGACAAAATATGGGAAACCTGGCATGGACAGACCTGAAATGGTGGGGTGACCACCTTTGGTGGGGAATTGAGATTTTGAGGTAGTATGCCTCTGTATAATTCCCATCCTCTGTCCTCCTCTTTCTGCGGGTCGTTGAGTTCCCAGCGAGGAATGCCAGGTAGAGTTTCTCGCATGGTGTTAGTATCATGGTCTCCTGCCAAGAGAGATGGCGAAAGACATATGAATGTGATTCAACATAAAGACCTTGAGAAATGATGAGCCGTAACCGAGACTAAGGGTGTCATGCATGAATCCCTTGATGACCCGATCTTCTACATTTTCAGCCTTGAAAGCGTCGAGTGTATGCCACCAGTTCACTTGGCAGCCAGGGTGTTGTTTACCGACAATTTCAACCTTGCGGATCATCCATTCGAGGGCCATGTCGCTCATCTGCAAGTCGTCATCTTGAAAAGGCTCGTCTAGATTATCGACCTTGGTCCCTCCAAAAATGTACTTCCAGCGCCGCCAGACTTTCAATCCTGTCGGGATAGCCGGCCAACCTCTGCCGACGTCACCGTGGCTACCAGAAAAGAGGGTATAACGGTAAGCAAGACGGTCTAGACCTAAATAGCCTTAACTAATAATTATTCTTATAATAGGTATATAAGCTTATATCTTAATAAGTATTTTTAATAATATTAATTTAAAGAATTATAATAGTAAATTAAAATAGCTATTTTATTTTTTAAAAAATATATTTAAAGTTCTCTTTATATATTAAATATAATTATTATTAAATAGGCTTATAAAGCTTATTTTAAGTAATTATATTAAATAATTAATATATTACTTAAATTAACTTTAATTATAGTGTTATTTTAAGTTAATAGACCTTATAGCTAATAGCTTATATTATATACCTTATATATAGCTACCAGGAAACCAGACTTCTCTGATGTCTTCTTTTTCGGTACCCTCCTTTTTAGGATCCTTGGTTGCAGCTTTGACACGACTGTTGTCGGTGTCCGGTGTCCGGGCTTTCTTGGTGACGGTCTTGATGTCTTGGGCAAGGAGGGCGGGCTTGAACTTGACACGATGCTCGTCTACAGCTACAGCATGACGGATGTGGTGTGCTGTTCCTGTTACATCCACCGGGGCAGGGGCACTTAGCTCAACCATGGCAACAGATCCGGAGATCGTTCTCCAAGCCCCCTTCGAGACAATTTCTCCCCAAAACAGGAGCCGAAATATTGATATTCCCAATCAGCAAGACACTAGTTAAGCGGGGCGCGTCTTAAATTCAGCGTTGCAAGGGGGGGGGGGGTTGAAAATACGCGGGGTCAGGGAATGGTTGGATGAGAAAAAGTGCCCGCGAGCCTGGCCGCCCAATTACAATCTCGGTCATTAGCCGCACCTGAGACGGGCGGCCTCCTTGTAAATCCTCCCAGTTGCTCACTTATTTTCTTGCTCCTCTCACAATTCACCCAAAAATGGAGAACCAAGTTGTGGCATTTGATGGAGAGCTTGACTCTGCCTCAGATTGCACAGGCAAAATCATCATCGACCAGGAGGAAGCCCATGTGAGTATTCCCAATGGAACCCAGCTTGGGGACACTTTCTCAATCCGGCGCAAAGTGGAATCCTTGAAGCATGGAGATATCTACGATGTGAACCATGTCGCGATGACCGAAGTCGACATGGAGACAAGATACCAAGCGAGAGCGTTCCAGACCCACGGTCTATTACCAAAGCTTGAAGCACATATCCGTCGTACAATCAGACGGATGTCCCGAAGAACGGTTCTTCGCACCACTTGGGGTCAGCTTGAGGTGGTTGTCTTCAAGGCAGAAAAGCTGGACAGATCTGAGAGCAACAACCCTGTCCAAGCAAAGTCTGAAGGCCCGAGTTGCCCGCCACCATCTGAGCCGGCATCTCCAAAGAGGACAAAGAAAACATCGGCAACAAGGAAAGAGTCGGAACGACTTCGGCAGCAATCTCGCCGAAAAAGAAACCTCCAAAGAAAACAAACACAAAACATGTCGCCTCAGGACAAATCGATTCAAACTGAACAAGGGTTTGGTCTTAGCCTCCTTCTCGACATCGATCCGGATGACATTATCTTTCTTCATCGAATCAATCACATAACCTCTTTCAGACCAATATGGAGCTCCTGGGATCTCAAGCAATATCTTGAAGCACGGTGCAAACGGACCGTAACGTCTGACGTTGAGAGTTGGTCGGATATGATTAGGCACGAGAAAGTGTACCTTCATCGACAGAGGAATAAATTCACAGCAATCATGGAGAAATGCACGAAGTATATTTTAGAGAATCGGGCCGCGAAAAACCACGGTGGGAGGTTTTTGCCTTGTTTATCAATCTCTCAGGAGCTAAGGGCTCAGAAAATTTTGTTCCTGCAGCGATATATGATTTTACTTTCTGGACTTGGTGCACTGGATTTTTTTTTTGGCCTGGTCAAACTGGGAGTATCAGTCACCTCTGCGCTCCGTTAAGTGAATCTTATAGAACAGGACCGCGAGGGTAAATTGAAGAATAAAGATTTGGCTATAGGAAATTTAAAGAAAAAAGTGTTTAATATCCGTATTGGGATGGCATAAAGGCTTGTCAAGGCATGCTTCAGGCTTAAGAAACGTGTTTTGGGAAGTAGAATGACTTCGGAAGCTCACAGTGATGATGGTACTAGAAGTTAACAGGATTTAGGAGTTATGAGAGCATTAACAGTTCCGTTGAAGTCCCATAGATCAAGTTCAAAGTTGATGATGTTTAGAGCTAACAAAAGACATACATGATAGGAAAGGTTTCAGTCTACTATAGACTAATCTAATAAAATTAGGAAAGAAATTCATCACTTTAAACCCGAGTCTTTAAGATAAAGAAGGTTTATAACCACAAGGCCATGTCCAAAAAGTCAAAGACTAAATATTAGCAATTCCTACCAAAAAGAAGCAATAACTATGAAGATTTTCCCAAGCCTCCAAGTATCCAGACTAAAAAGAAAATTCTTTCCTTTCCTTGTCCATCCTTTCCCTTACTCTTCTTTTCCTTCAAAACTAGCCCATACTTTCCCACAAATCCAAGATCCTCAAAACCATAAAAATAGCCACGCTAGCATCCGGTGCAAATTGCATACCAAAACCATGAAAAGCATATCCAAGCGTAAAGAAATAGTTTCCTTTTCCATTGTAGCAGACCTCGACCGATCTCAAACCGGAAGAGGTTATCCATAGCCATCCCATCAAGGGATTCCTCGGATTAAGAAGTCTTGCTTCTTGGGTCTTTCTGGTAGTCGAAAGATTTGTCGGTTCAGTCATCGGCGAGTGACTTGCCTGGGTCTTCACGACCTCTAACAGACGAAGTGCTCAGGACCAGATTGACTAGATATGATCATTCATCATGTGACAATTGGGCTTAGATCCTCCGGATCAAGACAGGACTTTCCATATTCCTTCCATTCGTTGCATTCCCAAAAACACAAGCCATGGCAGCAAAACTCCCACCACCTATTATCCATCGTAGCCCGTTGCCGAGCCTATTGTCTGTCGTAGTGCGCAGAGGTAAAAGTGAATAGTGTACAAGGGCGCATGAGGGTATCTCCATCTGACAAAATCGCAGCGCGATGTGAAATCCGGGATAATAGGTTGCTAGTGTATTTGGGATTGCAACAAGCTGGCACTGACTCGTCAAGTGCTTGCTCGACTTCGTGTGGAATCATCCAGCCAGGGATGTTCTTCACGAAGGCAGTCGTGCAGCATCACTTGTCAAAAATTGCTTTCTTCTCCACTAAAGTTGTATGTTCTCTCCTTTATTCATGACTCCTCTTGGGTCGACCAGGGGGGCGCGATTTATCACATGTGCCGACGTGGCTGGATAGCTCCTGGAAGCTCTCGACAGCATGTCCACATAAGCACGCGTACAGGCTAAGGCGGCCGCGGCACTTTGGCGACTGAGCATGTGCGCGGAGGCGATCTGGTCGAAGAAACTGTTTCCCGCATCGGCATCGGTATCTTTCCAGCGAGTGCGCCGAGCTCCGCAGGTGGCGCTCGAAGTCGACTCGGCGGCTGAACCGGCAGCTATGCTTTCCGCAGCTATAGGGCTTCGAGGAACCAGAAATACTTTGACAGTGCGAAACTCTATAATGGTCGGCTAGTGCAGATAGCTGATTGAAAGCCATGGAGCATATCTCGCAACTGTAGCGCGAAAGTGACAGTTGCGGAGTGGCTGGATTGCTGGCGCTCGCAAGCGTCGATGGTGACTGTGACGAGCCAGAAAGGCTACGGGAGAGAGATGGTGGTGATTGTGTTTCGTTATCAGAGGGACTGGAAATGATGACTTGAATAGGAGAAGAAGTAGATTGAGTAGTTGGCAACATTTGAGGAGAGTCGTAGCCTTCTAGATTGCCAAGAGGGACGTCGCATTCGGCAATACCTGACGATTCATCGCACAAAGTATCGCGCAGTTTGGAGGTCTCCAACTCTTCATCTAGATAGGCTGCTATGGACGGAACGATGTTGAGTTCCCAGTCGAGATCGGGGTTGTCAGGCCCATTGTGATCTAGGTGATGATCATAGTGGTTACTCTGTATGTTAAGCGCGCCGGATCAACCGGCGCCTTAACAACAGCGTTAGATGTTGAGGTGAATTGCGGTAGCTCACGAGAGCATTGATTTGACCAAATTGGACAACGATATCCCCGTCGCAAAAAGGTCAGGACAGCAAAACACAATATTTTCAATAGAGAGTCATAATAAACGGCAATTCATAACAGCCCAGAAGTTGTAGACACAGCCCTGTTTACAGCTGAATACGGAAAGTCAAGCGCGAAGCTCGCGCTGAGGCGAATTGGGGGTAAGAAAAGAGAGAAAAGGAGGGGAAAACGAATGAGGCTGTGGGCGGTTTCTTAAACCTGCCAGGTCTGTTCAGCTCGACCGTAGCGCCCTACGGCTGATGACATGTTGAGACACTGGGCACATTTTCTGATTCGCTGTCACCTATCTCTATCCTCGATTGTGGGTAGTCCTTCGTGGGCACGTTTTTTGATTCGATGGTGGTTTAACCCCGCCACTCCCCTTTGAGAACGCCATGCACTAGGCCTAACAAACTTGGATGCTTACAGTTTCCCCAAACCTGGCGGTGCTATGATAAGATACATTGAGTATGCCTTATCTGGACTATGACGTCTCGAAGAGAAGATCGAACAAGTTGCGCGGTCAGAAGAGGGTCTGCAGACCTGGGCAGGGGTCCAGCCAATCAAGAAAATAGATGCGTCCCCCCCTCAATATTGTAGGTCTGCAAACCATGTAGAGATCCTTAGGTAAGAGCAATGCGTTGGTATGGGCACTTTTTTTAAGTGGCCAAAATTACTGACATATCAATACAGACAACTCTGGAGCTTTCGGAGGCTAAACTAGGGTATCCAATGGGGAAATGTGCCCATTAAAGTCTCTCATGAAATGGTATGATGAATTTGCCTTGGTGACTGAACATCCAATCCGAAAACGTGCCCTTAGGAGAAAGTCATTCATCGGTTGTCACTTCTATAAGATATTACCGCAGTAGTTGTATTCAATGTTCTCTGGTTTCATAAGTAGATTGCTTCTTATTTAAAATTACTTGCCGCGTGATACTGCTTCAACAATTCTTGATGTTTCTACACACCATCCAGTTCTATGTTTTACTCGAAACCTTCTGCTTTTATACCCAAATCCCAGGCATCAAACCCTCAACCTTTACTCATAATAACCCACAAGGCCGAACGACAGATTAAAAAAGAATTAACTAAACAAGACATCAACATATTCGTGCAATTGCTGTGACAAAAGGAGCTAAGATCATGGAGAACTCGGACAAGATAGGTTAGTCTTGAGCGACAAACAACAAAACATACTTCAACTAACAACAGTAAGTAGCAACATCAACGCACGGTATCACAAGCTACCAGATGTTGCGGTGGGCAACAGGGAATGGGAAGTCTGATCCTTGGAGTCCAGTCTCAAGTATTGCTGGGTTTCAGCCCGCCGATATCACGCTCAGTATCAACTATACTGAGGTTCAGAAGGAGAGTACCAAAGCTACAGCTGGCTCAACTACCAGTCAGAAGTAGGCTTCACATAGCTATGAAGTTGAGAGGATAAGTCGGAGTAGGGCCTAAGCTCGCATGGATTAGAACGACAGTCATCAGAGTAGGGATTTGAACATTATAATGACACGTTTATCACATGGCTATATATTGCAGTATACGATTATATGGTCACCACAAGATGATGACACATGGAACTGGAGTACAAAGAAGAATCTTTCAGTTTACGGCGCATTGGCCTTGGTTACAGATGAACCTTGAAATAGTCAAGGAACTTTTGAAAGCTGCAAGCTCTGGGGTTGTCATCCAGTCCCATGTCAGCTTTGTGTTCATAGTTGCCTGAGAGATACAGGTAATTTGGCTGAAAGGGCAATGGGTTATTGGGGTCCGTGAGGATCTTTGACAAGCTAAATAACCATAATCTTTAAAGGAGCTGTTGCACATGTGCCTTGAAGAACTTTTGAATTTTTACTTGCCTTATTTTGGTGTCGGCCGCATGAGGACTGAAGTGCATCCTTCGATGATTGGCATTCGTATCTATACAAGAGGTGCTACAACTTCCAAATGCATCAAGCATGCGTACTCCTTGCTCGTAACAAATGATCTCTGAGTCAGTCGATCGAGAGTCGTTGTTGTTGTAATCAACTCCTTGTCAAGCCAAGGTAAGCCAGTTCAGTTCAACTCTGACATACAACAGCCTTATACATGTGACCTTGTATCGTTGGCTTTCATTTTACTACTTCCAGTTCCCCATACTCCCTCCATCCTCAGTCTTGTGTTACTAATAGAGGCGCAGCATATACGTAGACAAATTGACGGACTAGCGGATTCACAATCCCTGTCAGTATTGGGGCGCAGCGTCATAATTGTTCGAGCTTCCCCTCTTTTCCCAGGCAACCACGTCTCTAGTCCATCTCAACTTCTTCATCAGTACCATCGGAACTACCAGTCGCGGTCATTATAACACAAACATTAGGCATTTCCACCTGAAATCCGGAAGCAGCAAGATGAGCAGCCGCCGAACCTCAGCTCTTCCACTCTCCTCAACTCAGCTACGCCTTCTCCAGAACCCGACTACGAGGCTCCCAACTCACAAAATGCCTGAAACTCAGAAACATGACCATACTCCTCCTTACCGTGGAAACCCTGAATCGGCCATCTCGAAGTCTACTTCTTCGCAAGCGCTACCTTTTAGGTCGCTGCGACCCGCCCAAGATGGCGATGGCGCAACCAGTTCCTACTTTGAGCACTCAAACGGCAAGCGAATCAATACTGATCTTGTCTTTACGGCAGCTCTCAAAAAACAATACCCTGAGCTCGACCTTGTTGTAGTCCCACAGAACGGCGACATGGGAAGCTCTTTCAACTTACTAGCCTTTGCAGCCGCTGGCTACGCTACCGTGACTCCAATCCAAGACAAGGGCGACCTGCCATCGTCGCTCGAATGGACGGTTTACTTGCCTCCCGCCCGACGGATGGATGGCAATAAAGGAGCCTTGGGCGAGGCGCCTCTCTTTGGCAAATTCCTCTACCAATGGCAGGGTGAGGAATTCATCGTCTATCTGGCCGATGGTCGGGATGGCTCAGAATCCTACCCAACCGTTAAGAACTACTACATCTTGACGGCTGATCTCCATAAAGCGGATCAACTCGTTCTCACCGCCGGTTCGTGGGCAAGCGACCTGCATGATGAAGTCTGGGTCTTCGATCAGGGCTTTTTTTCCAAAGATCACGAGCTGTGGGAGAGCGCGCAGAAGTCAACATGGGATGCAGTCATCCTAGACGAGGATATGAAGAAGTCGCTCATAGATGACCATATCTCCTTCTTCGAGTCGAGACAGACATATACAGGTCTTGGCGTGCCATGGAAGCGAGGAATCATCTACCACGGCCCCCCTGGGAATGGAAAAACTATCAGCATCAAAGCTACAATGCATATGCTGGCTGATAGAACACCCTCCATTCCGACCGTCTACGTGCGTAGTCTAGAGTCGTGGATGGGACCCCAGGGCTCTCTTCACATGATCTTTCAGAAGGCTAGGGAATTTGCGCCTTGCTACTTGGTGTTTGAAGATATTGATTCTCTTGTTACACCCGATGTGAGGAGCTACTTCTTGAACGAGGTCGACGGCCTGAAGCAGAACGATGGCATATTTATCATCGCCAGTACTAACCACCTGGAGCTCTTGGACCCAGGAATCGCAGTAAGTATCTTAACCCTGGCCTAGGACTGCCCGCTGATAACTTAGAAACGGCCATCTCGCTTTGACCGAAAGTATTACTTTCCCGACCCAAACATTGACCAACGAGAGGCATATTGCCGCTTTTGGCAGAAGAAACTTAAGTTCAATAAGGAAATCGAGTTCCCAGACAAGTTATGCAGGGCCATCGCTGAGATCACGGACAAATTCAGCTTTGCTTACATCCAGGAGGCGTTTGTAGCAACCCTGTTGGCCATCGCTCGGCGTTCAAAGACCAAGCCAACAGTAGAAGTCTCTGTAGAGGCTTGGGTCTTGGTTAGTGATGAGTTTGGAGCTGACCTAGCCTCGGATAATGGTGAACTAGACAGACTGGAGCTCTGGATCGAGATTAAAAAGCAGATCAAGATCCTTCGCGAAGGCATGGAAGAAGAAACTGAAGCATTCTAGCAGCCAAAGGCAACAAGTAGCAGGGGTCAAGAAGGTAATTCAAGGTAAAATGTCTCGAAAGCGAAACTTTTCTCATTACATTTCTCTTTATGTCTTACTTTAGACTCCACATTAATGTACCTCGTGATTATCACCATATCTCCAAGACACACCAATCATGCCACTAATAGCGAGGCTGAAGTTGATTCCTACTTCGACTCTGACAGCGAAGATTAGTTCAGCTAAGGTGGAAACGAAGATGGCTCGACTCATGATGACGACCAAGGTGACTCGGACGAAGATGACAGTGAAGATAGATTGATCTAATATGATGATGAAGAGGGCCAGGAGCAGGATTAAAGAAAACTTCATTTGCAAGTTGCCGGCCTCAGTCCTAAGATTCACTGGATCAGCTGGTAGGAGATACAGCCAGTTAATGTTTACTCCAACTGAGAAAAGCAGCCCTGGGGGTTTTCGTTCATTGTTGGCAAACGTCTCTTACCAAAACCTGTATCAGTTAGTGCAAAAAGGGTGCATCAAGGTCAAATTGTCGATGGAAAAGCTTGTCCCATCTTGCAGCTAGAAACTACTTCAATAGTGGCCTCTCACAGCTATGGCTTGCCAAGCCTCGACGGACAATAAAACCAAGCTAACTAAAGCCCATAAACACATCGCTCGGGCTGTCTCTGGTTGCCTCAACCTCCTGAAGTGTCACTTGCATAAAAGCTTATTGCTTAAGTCTGATAAGTTCACCAACGGCGGCATTATTGCTTATCTCTCGTAAGTCGTCAACCTCATATACTGTATGACAGAGATACAAGCCGATCTCAAAACTCTATATGCTAAGAATTCTAATTGGGATTATTACCTTCTGCCCTTTGAAAACACCATCAGATCTGTGCAGGATGCAGCTCAAAATGTCGAATTCCTGCATACCTGAAAAAATCGTCTTTAGAACTTAGTAAACGTGAATAACTCCAAACATGGCGATCTTCCAGATATCTAGGGCAGGTCGATTCGTATATCTTATGTAAAGCCTCATCTTGACGACTCGAGCAACTCGATATTGAAATTTGCAATAAATACAATTTAACTGGTTCCTTGTATGCAGATCACTTCATGTCTTATAAGATTTACCTATTTAGGATTTTATAAACAATCTCTTTAGCTACACGTTTAAAGTTTCTTTGAGGCAAAGCCCACTCTGGTATTGCCTCCATCAAACACGACAAACTGAGACTTAAGAAGGATATCTCCGTAAATAGAAAAGCCGAAGTCAACATCAGATTGAATTCCACCGAAACAGTATCCAAACTGTGAGATCGCTTGCGCATAGTTCATATACGAGCCAGGTATCCGGCCGCGATAGTGCGCTCCAATGCCGAAAGTAAAGTCGGGGTTGTTCTCGTTATCGCAAGGAAATATCCAGCCTCCCTCGATGGTTGAATAAGTGCTGTCTTTAACATTGCGGTAATACCCTTGCACAATCTCATCAGGCAGGAAAAGAAGCGTGGTCCCAGTGTCAACTATGCCATTGATGGAAGTTTTGATGAATTTGTTGTTTCCGACGGCATAGCCTGTCGAGGAGATATCCCAAAAGCCTCTAGAACTGTTAACAGAAGTCCATGTTATGTGGCTCGTCTTCTTATTCTGGTCAACATAGCCAAAGTCGTATGTACCAAAAGCACCCTTCTTCAGATCCACAGTGAAGAGCGGTTCTGCCAAGACAGCCTTTACGTTGTCGAAAAACGTGGCCTGTTTTGTCGGTTTGACGGTGTTGATAGTGCCAAAAGCAAGGCCCAAGAGGCCTGATTCGGCGGAATTAGCAGTGAATCGGTTGCTAACGTTTGTCGCTGCCTCAATTGCTTGGGACTTGACGACAATACCACCGACATCAACCTGGTCGAGATAAACATCCCCGTAGGCTGAGGTGCCATCTCCATACTTGATACTCCAACTAGCACCGTCTATCTTCCGAGATGTCTTACTTCTTTCGGGCGCGTAAAGCTTTTGACGTCCGACAACCGAAGGATCAGTTATAGACGAGAAAACCCAACTATGTAACGTCGAATCGTGTCAGTTTACTGCTCTCCGTCTTTACTTTCCGTCTCGATATTTGTGTGTTGCGAGCAACGGTGTAAAGGAATGGATACATACAGATCAGATGAGCCAGTGTCAAAATCCAGAAACAAGCTCTGCGGGGGTGATCCCAGGCTGACCTCACAAAGATAGGCCGAATCTAAGACTTGGGGCTGATTTGTCACCGAACCTACTCAGATTAGCAAATATTTTCGACTATTCATCGTTATATCCCATATACATATATTAAATGCATACGAAATTAGGAGTCGCAATATAATACGGGGGAACATCAAGTGCATCCAGGTTCTTAAGTCGCGACAAACCTTTATCATGGAATGCAGCTTTTGCATGCTCGACAGCTCTGTATACATAATCAGGCAAGGTTCTCCCGTACTAAAACCAATCAGAATCTGATATGAATGACCACGGGCCGTGGCGCTGTATCTACCTTGGCATAAGTTCGTGCCAGCGCCGCCGGTCCACTGGTGGCGAAGCCAGTATAGTCTGGGTTGCCCACTTGAGGCACAGAAAAGGTAGATCGAGGTGTTGGTGAGCGAAGCGCAAGAGCGGCAACTCCTGGCAGTATAAAACAAAAAGTGTGAAGTAGCAGCATAACGATGATTGCTATATCAGAGATTGATCGCAGGGCTGATGTGATAGAGACAAGACTTGAATATTGCTTGGTATTCCTGGCGGATAACAAGCTCTATATATGCCATTCAGTTGCGGTAGTTCCGAAACATTGAGGAAACAGAAGGTCAGATTGTATAAGTGGATATTCACTTTAAGAACTGTACAGAACTTTACACTGCTCAGAACAAGACGTATCCAAAGCGAAATACTACAAAAATGCAGAACTCCCTATCTACCTGAAATTGAACTTGCATACACGAGTCTTGCAGAAACTTTTACCTACCTTGATGGGGCTTGGAAAGCGGGGGGTTTCCTGTTGACAAAAGTCCCCATGGACAGTGGTAGGATTTCTAATCTATCTTCTCTGTTATAACAGCCATAACACGGATCAATCGGCACATGATAAGAATGAACTTATGGTACTTATACTAAAGAGGAAGGTTAAATGTCTCTACTTCTTTAATTAGAGTTTAGAAAATATATTCTCCTTTGCTCACAAAGATCTGCAAGCAAAGTAATATCCTTTCTGAATTGTCTTTTCTGTTATCAAGGCCATAGTCCAGACCAATTAGCAAAAGCATCCACCTTAGGCGAAATATCTATCTGTATATCACAAGCAACTGCCAGTCTTAAAGCTTATGTTATACCGGGGGCAAGACAGCTATCTACAGCAGTCTCATGCAGGACCAAGCTATATACTCTAAATCGGCTTTTTACACACATGCAATTTTCAACTTCAACTACTACCTTCGGATCACTTCCATCATCCTAAATAGCACTTCTTTGACGTTATTTCTTATGTCGATGCATCTCAATGCAACGCTCTGTCCGTTGGCAGAAAACCCCGCAGTACCTTATCGTAAATTAAAAAAGGTGTTGTACAACGGACAAAAGTTCCATCTAAATACGAGACCTCGTATAACTTGAACTTTATTGTTGAGCGTCTCTGCGATAAAGAAAGATACTTTTTATCAAGGTGATTTCAGAAATAAATATATATGTGATATGGTGATCCTATAATTTACAGTTGCTCCACTTTCTATAACTCAAAATCCAAATCATATTCCATTTTCCCCCTCTTTTTTGCCGTTAGAAAGGCTCTAATGACAATGCTTTTACAACGCCTCGCTAGCTTATTCATCGTAGCGGCTTTGCCTTCTTCTGGTGCGGTTGTTCCTAAAGGTCAAGTTTATACAGTCGACGTTTACATACCAGAGGTCCGACATGACGATCAGTATTACAATGTGAGTCGCGATTTTTTGACCTTGCAGGGCTGGTTATTTAAGGCCGCCATGTTCTATCCCTACCGTGTCTTGCCTTATGATCTTTTCCTCTCCTGCTGTCTGAATTTCTATGCTAAAAACTGCTAGGTAAATATTGGCTTCAATAACCAAGTTTTGCCTGTCATGGTCGACACCGGATCAGGCGATATTCTGGTAGCAGCTGATACTTGCAATGTCGTGGACGTTACTAGTGGCTGCTATCTATGTGAAACTTTCAAGACCAAGGTGAGAAAACGTAAATCCTATCCTCCCTTTTCACAATTCTAAGCATGATTAGGGCATCGAGTTGTTAGAATCGTTCGGGACTGCTGTAGGTGAAGGGACTGCTCTTGGCAATACATCACTCTTGAACATTGAGATTGGTGGCCTCAAGGTTCCAAAAATGTCCACCCGTGAGTTCATTTTCCGAACCGTTTCCGAACTTTCCTAATGTGCTTGACGAAATTAGCGCTGATCAACTGGGCTGTATCGAATGAGTTCCAGGATGGATCCTTTTCCGGCATTCTCGGGCTGGGGCCCAATAACGTTTCTCGAAATCTCCACTTCAACGGTCACCTCCCGCTTATAGATGAAATGATTAAACGTCGTCTACTTGAGAAGCCCATGTTTTCTCTCAGCTTACCACGGCTCGGAGACCCCATATCTCCACAAAAGGGAAAATTAACACTAGGGGGCATAGAAAAGATTCCCAAGGGCGTGGTGATGACATACAATGACATTATAGATAACCCAAAGTAAGTCATACACGTCTTGCACTCCTGGCAATACCTCGCCTCCTGATCATGCAAAGTAGCTAAAATCTGTCAGCTATAATTATGATACGTTCCCTCTCCAGCCGCAGTCCTGGACAGCTCAGCTACAAGCAGTCCGTATGAATGGGAAAGTCATTCCAGTACAACGCGGAGGTATTCAATAACATCCACAATTCTCTCAAGGCGACTGAAAGTTCCGCATGAGCCTAAACTGACTACCTAGCAGATCTTGATCCAAAAGGCAGATACTTATCCTTGATGGACAGTGGCGCCCAGCAACTTCTATTCCGACGGGAAGAATTTGCTGCCATAGCGACAGCTTTCAAAGGCAAAACAATTGTCCAGCCGGATATGGCGATTTACTTTGACTGTTCCATTCCGCAACTTCTGGAACTGAAGTATCATGATCGTTGGTTCCCGGTAGATCCCTTGGATCTCATCATTCCAAGTGATCATGGTGTGAAGGACGGCAAGGAATTGTAAGTCTTAATGTCTTCACGTAAGAGAATTTGTATTGATCTATTTATAGATGTCACGCCGCACTCGGAGTATGGGACAGAACATTTGCTGATTCTATTATTGGCGTTCCTTTTCTCCGGAACGTTGTATCTGTTTTTGATTACATCAAATTTGAGACATATACAGTTCAACCGAGACTAGGACTTGCAAGCCTGACTAATGGGAATCAAGCTGTCGAGCGATACTCCAGATTGTACAAAAACAGGCTACAAAGCACAACACCGGTATAAGGTAGAATGTTTACGCTATAGACAGAGAGCATCTAAATCTGGTACGGAAATCGGGTTTGGGCTTCAGTAGAGATACTATAATTTAGCAAATCATAGTATAGTTTAAATTATATTACAGAGTCAAGCTACTGTTATGTTAGTTAGGGCTATATACCAAAGCCTTGCATCCGTATCTCAAAACTCTTAATGTTAACGAACACTCATACGCATCTATTTCCTAGCCATCCCAGTCGTAGTCTTAGGAGCAATCCATCTAAGACGACCGTCTCTATCAAGTCGACATTGTGATGATACACTTCGGGCTTGGTTGAAATAACCGTACAATTCTGTTTCTTGGGCAGGCTGGCTCTGGGAGCAGTCTGTTAGGTTCTGGTTATGAGACAGTGGGGTCATGATGGCTTCAGGGGCGCGGGTGCCAGTACTCGCTGGTTGAGGTGGCTGATAGGAATGGAAATTCGTGATGCCCGGTTCATGCTCTTGCGTTGGAGGCCATTGAGACAAGGGAGCGTCACCAACAGTTGTCGCCCGGGGTTGTAGGCTAATTAAAGGGTTTGAAGAGGCGCTTCCTAGTACTCGAGACTCCGACATGCCATCATGTTGCCGAGTATGATTGGGGTTTAACGGGACAGAGTCTGTTTGACTACCGTTGTCTAAACACCGAAGGTACTCTGATGAGTCGATCAAGGTGTCATGAGAGTCTATATCATCATTCGTTCGATGTTGACTATGGTTCGCTACCACAGGATTCAACGGCTACTGAGAAGACGCATTGCCGTGGTTGGGGCTTGGATCTTGCTGGGCGTTACCAACCATCGTAGGCTCCTCCTGAGGCTCGGCCTTGGGAACCAGGGCCCTGGCGGGTGTATCATGCAGTGGCTCACTACGTTCTGTATCATCGTCACTTTCATCATCGATGATAATGATCTCTCGGCCGGGGACGCCTGTAACTTGTTCTTCGCGGGGGAATATTTCGGCTGTCGGTCGGTCATCGCTAAGGCCTCCTTGTCCAGCGTCGATATGGGGGGCTGAATAGAGAGACGGTTAGTAGGGTCCGGATAACTCATCCATCACGACTTACCTGCTTGATCACTACTGTTATTCCTTGATGTAATATAGCCATCCACGATGTCTTTGAACGGGGTAGTAGCAACCTGGGGATCGTATAACTGAAAGTCGCGTGCAGCAACCCAAGAAACGCGACATTGCCCTGGAAACACCAGCGCATCAAAATACATAATGGGATATTTCCTCTTCCGGTATGACTCTCCACCAGGGCGGAAATGCGGAGCCCATTCGTATGACTCGTCGACGTGGTTGTATCGATAACAGAATGGGACATGTTTGATCAACTCAGTGTCCTTGACAGTGAGCGATAGATCTTTACCAATATTTCCGACGTTATGCCAAGGCAGAACCAGAATGGCAAAGAATTGCTTTGTCTCGCTCCAAAAGGTCGTGCACACCTCTCCAGGCTGGGGATCAATCTCCGTGCGGTTCTGGTTACTCCGCGTAGGAAGGCTGTGAGCCACTGAGGGAGAAATACTATTGACAGGCCGACCCATCTGAGAGTAGGAAGGTCTTCGCGCAACCTCATTATTCTCAGCAGCTTTCTCTTCGGTGCAGTTGAGAACAAGAGTCCCGAGAGCGCGAATGGCTTCTTCGTAATTGACAGAAGTTTGGTTATGCTTCTTACCTCGAAGATGCTTCTGAGCACCGCGAATGGGATGATTGTTGAAGTGCAGTCTGTGTTTCTTGCACTCGAGGACATACCAGAACTCTTCATGCTTGACGATGACATATTTGGGCTCGGCCTGGCCGTTTTGGTAGACTTGGTCGAACTCAATGGTTCTGTCGCCTGTAAGAGGCCCTTGTGCTAAATCGGATCGAACGCGCTTCGTTGGACGGGTCGGACGAGATTCGGGGGATCTTTGAGAGTCGACTGGTCTCTTTTGGGGACCTGATGGGGTATTCTGTTCGATTCTGTGCAGTTCGTTCGGGTGGGTGGTCGGGTCGCCTGCATTTTCGGCGTTGGAAGGGCAAGGTACGGAGTCGTTCGTGCTTGTCGGCTGGGCGAGAGGGTCTTGTGTAGGAGCGAGACACAAGGCAGTTGTGTCTTCGGGTTGGTGGGTATCGACGGCGCTTGGTATAGTGTCTGACTGAGCAGAAGGAGCGTGACTGACCCGGTCGCACGAAATCTTGTATAACGTGTTACCACGTTCAGGACCAAATAGGTCCATAAATTCAATAAACAGAGACTCATCCTGTTCCTCAAGCTTTTTCTGATATTCTTGCTCTTTTTGTTCCTTACTATCTTCATGTAGTGCCATAAGCTCTTTAATGCGGGCTCCACAGCCGAGAATCTCATCGAGTTTGTCGAATGAGTTTTGCGACGAGTGTGTGAGGCTGTTGAAGGAATCTTGGGCTATCCTGATATTTTCTTGAAACTCTTCCTCTGGTGATTTCACAGGATGAATTTGGGCTGTCCATCGTGCTAAATATTGCTGAATTGCGGGTATTCGCTCCCCGGGTTGTAATGGGTGGCCCTCCATTTCAGGCGGCTTTGGGGGTAGTTCACGCTACGTAGCGCTGGGTTAGCCAGTAACTAGGGGCGGCTTAGTATCTCAGTCAATGAGACAATAGCGTGCAGGTCGTCAACGGCGCTTTAGGGTTAGCAACATGGCAATGGGCCATTTATCAACAGAGCCAATTGTCCACGGCATATACCAGTAGATGAAAGGAAGAAAAAGGAGAGAAGCGGTTCGTTCATTTTTTTTTTTCTTTTGATGTGACAGCCTGATCCCGCCCATGTCCAATCAAAATAGCAACAGACAAGGATACTGCAAACCGACCAATAATGAGTTATCCTTACATCCTGGTACCAACAGTTCTTCTACAATGCGGCTTGATAAGAAGAGTTTAGATCCGTTGCCTCTTTGCTTACTACGTGAAGGTAATGGCGGCCCATATCATTTAAGCCGCGTCTGATGCAACCCCGCGACGATAGGCATACCCCCTTCCATTGAACACAACAGTTCAACCAGTCAGTGAACCAATCAGTGAACCAATCAGTGGACCAATCAGTGAACCAATCAGTGAACCAATCAGTCGGTCTCTCTATTTATCTGTGAAATAATTAAAGAAAAAGGCCTCTCAGAGTTTATTTACTTTCTGAAAGTCACCTATAGCACTGATGCAGATGTGGATGCTAATGGGGCAGGTCTAAAAGCCGTAGAGCAGCCTAAAAGACCTTGCGCTGGCCACAAGGATGGAGCCTCCTGAAAGAAGGAAGAGTCCGCTTCACAGTATTAATCTGCAAGCCTAGCTATCGCAATCTTAGGACAAAGGTGAGTCTATATCAGTACATCTAGTTCAACCGGTCAGTATCAGCATGACGCATACGATACCATGGACCGAAATATGGCCTAAACACATGACAGTTAACTGAGCCATCTAGGCAGCAGGATCTCGGAGCAGGAGATGTTTGGGCAACGGAGATACAGGATCAATAACATGAGTACCGCGTCTGTCTATACGGATAGTTAAATAGCCGTAGTTAAGCTGCTTCTAGGTTCTGTCTGCTAGAATAAGCTCTTAGCCACAAGTCTTAACTGCAAATAACATATCTAGCTCACAACTTAAACATTATATTAAAATATCTAACTAATTACTATAATAAAAAGCTAATATTATAAAAACCTAAAAGATAACTTACTTATTTACTATTATAGTTATAAAAAGGTGCCTTTAATATACCCCTAAAGATAATTAAATATAAGATAATAATAAAACAGAATAGCAGTATATATACCTAAATAAAAGCTTATCTATATAGTATATTTAAATAAATTCTAGTAGTAATATATTAATAAACTTTCCCTTAACTTTATTAATACTAAAAATTATAAATAAATACTTTAAAATAAAGATTTTTTCTAGAAAATTAAAGCTATAAAGGATAAAATTTTAAAGGTTATTAAAATTAAAGAATATAAAAGGCTTTTTAATAAGCTTATTTAGTAATTAACTATTTTTAATATTTATATTTTTATTTATATTATAATAAGACTTTATTAAGAAGTTAAGAAAGCTATTAGGTAAGAGAGAGAGGTACTTAAAGCCCTTTCTAATAATAAGGCTAAAGCTAAAAAGATAATAAAGTTAATTAAAAGAAGAAACTAAAATTAATATAACGGTTAGGTTTCTAAACAGGTAAACTAATCTATACTAGGTTTATATTTACAGGGTATATAGGGCATTATACTAAGCGCATTAGTAAGGTATTATATCTCTTAATAGTTAATAGTATAGATAAGGCTTATTAAGGTAAAGAAGTATTATTAATAACTAGTAAGCTAAATTCTATCTAGTACTAAAAGAATATATATATATATTATAGTAATTATAGAGGAGCAATATAATATAAGGTTATTATTAGTCTTAAAATAATATAATCCTAAAGTGCTATTAGTCTTAATCTTATTAATCCTTATCTAGTTGGCTGTTTAGGTAGACCTAAGGTAGAGTTTTTATAGGGTATATATAATATAACTACTAAAGTTATAATATAATCTCTCTTTTCTAATAGTCTTATCCTTAAGGCCTATTATCCTAACTAATATTAATCTTCTTTTAGTAAGTCTTAACTTAAACCTTTTACTATTATATTCTATAATATCTAACTATATATTTAAGCAGTTATCCCGTAAGGATTATAAAATCTAAATACTTATATTATCTATTAAGTTTTCTAATAAAAAGGCTAATATGCCTTATACTTATTATTTTCAAATAGGCAAGAAATGCCTAATATCTACTAACTCTACTTGCTATAGTAAGTATATTTAGGCTAAAAAATCCTATAATAGTATCTATATTGCCTCTTTTTATAAGCTCCCTTTCTCTATTAAGCTTTACCTTACTGATTATAGCAGTTATAAACTTAATAAAATAAAAGAAGAAGTTAAAAAATAATAAAGATAAAGTAAGTAAGGATCTCCTTAAGCTTTATAAAGAAATAATAGCCTTATAATCTTATTTAGCTCTAGCTGCTAGTTATTTATTGCAGATTTATAAGATCTAGAGTTATATAAAGGAAAAGCATTTAAAGGCTACCTATTATAATCTCCAGGAAGTAGATTAGTAAGACGTAATCTTATCCGGTTTAGATATATATAAGGATATACTGCTTTATAATCTCTAGGTAAATTATATTTTTAATAATATTAATTAATTCTTTTTAGGTTTAAGTAATAATTTCCTTAATATTTTCCCTTTATTTAAGTTTAATAAAAATTCTTTAGGAGTTATTAGGCATTAATAAGGTATTTTAGTGGTTCTTATATATTTTCGTTTTTTAGGTAGTCTTTCTATTTTATTAAGTATTCTCTCTTACTATTTATTACTTATATTTCTTTAATTACTTTTGCTTTATAGATTTCTAGTCTATTAATTTCTTTTAATTTATTGCTAATCTTAATATAAATTATATTAGCTACTAACTTTAGTAATATAATATAAAAGATCTTATGCAGTCTGACTTTTATTAATAGATCTAGCTTATAGTTATTCTTTAAAATCTTTCTAGTAATTTTATAAGGTCTGATATATTTAAAGTTAAGTTTATAATTTAGTCGTTTTATAGTAATGTTTTTTATAGATAAGTATATTATATCTCTCTCTTTAAAGATTAGTCCTTTTAATCTTTTAGGGTTATAATATCTTTATATCTACTTATTAATAAATTCTAGTTTTATTTAGAGTTTATTATATATATTCTTTAGATCTTTACTCTTAATTATAGCTGCCAGGTTAATAATCTCAGTTTATTATATATTATAATATACTATTAAGATATAACTAAAATTGGCATTAGATAGTATAAGTTTTATGCTTTTATTATAGGCAGTATTATAGGCTAGTTAGGTATATAATAGCTTTTTAACCTAATTATTTTATTTATAATTAATATAATACTATAAATACTATTCTATTACCTAATTTATTTATTCTATCTATCTATTTACTTAAAGTCTAAATGCTATTATAAGTCTATAATTAACTCCTATATATACCATTAAGGTTTTCTAAAACTTACTGGTAAAGGTAATACCTCTATCTATTAGGATTTCTTTAGGTACTTCTCTTTTTTATACTACCCTATTATAGAAAATATAGGCTAAGACTTCTATATCTATTATCTCTCTATAAGGTATATAAATTAAGAACTTTATAAGTCTTTTAATAATAACTAAAATACTATTATAAAAGATTCTAGTTAAAGGCTTTTTAGATAGCAGTAACTTAATAATAAAGTCTATTATAATTAAACTCTATAGTGCTTCTATAACTTTAAGTAGTTATAGTTCTTTATATAGTTTATATCTATATGCTTTTATTTATATGTAAATATTGTATTATTTAACTACCCTTTTAACTATCTTTTATAGCACTTTATATCCTTGCTGTAGAAGTTATTTAAATATCTTTATTACTTTTTAGTATCTATATACTAGATATATATAAAATTCTTATATAAATTCTTCTAATTCTTTTAGGATTTCTTTAGTTACTTCTATTTATATCTATCTTAAGGTTTTTATCTATTAGGTAAATATATATTCTCCTTTATTATTTCTTTTTAATACTTATTTATTTACTTTTACTATATCGATATTATAGTCTAGTTATTAACTAATTATATTTACTCTTCCGTTTTCTATTCCCTTATAGTAAATAATAATAAAATTAAATTTATATAGATATTCTATATAATATAGTTATCTTTAATTAAGTTTATATATTATAGTAAAGTAAGAGATATTTTAGTAATCTATATATACCTTAATTTTATACTTACTTCCTATAAGGTAATATCTAAATTCTTTAAAGTAGTTAATAATTGCTAGAAATTCCTTATTATAAACAGGATAGTATAGTTCTGTATTATATAATTTATAAAAGTAAAATGCAATAAGGTATAATTGTCTTTAGTTATCTTATTAATTAATCTATCCTCTTAATATAAAGTCTAATATATCTATTTTTAATTTAATTTCTTTTTTAAAATTAAATATCCTTAAGACTGATTTACTAAAAATAGTTTCCTTAAGCTATTTAAAGGCTGCCTAAGCCTTATCGTTCTATTTAAATAGTTTATCCTTTTTTATAAGTTCTATTAATAGATTAATAATCTTATTAAAGTCTTTAATAAATTATTAGTAGTAATTAGTAAATCCTAAAAATGCTTATATTTCTTTAATATTATTAGGGGTTTTCTATTTTATTACTACTAAAATCTTCTTTTATTTTATTTTAATTTCTTTAGGTATAATAATATATCTTAAAAAGTCTACCTTTTTAATATAAAAGAAACTTTTCTTTAATTTAATTAATAGCTTAATATCTTATAATACTTTTAAGACTTTATAGATATATTCTATATATTCTTTTTTATTATTTAAAAAGATTAAAATATTATTTAGGTAGTATACTATAAAGATATTAAGGTATTATTAAAATATACTATTAATTATTTATTAAAATATTATAG